AGACACCTCCTGCTGAGCCCCCGCATCCTCCCCAGACCACTACAGTCAAACCAGCAGAGCAGAGACCTCATGTGGTTCTTCTAATGGACTCGAACAGGAAGTTCCTGGAACCTCAGAAGCTCTTCCCTGGACACCAGGTAACAGCGAAATGCTGCAGCACCACCAGCCACACCCACCAGCTTCTGAAGAAGGAGACCCTCGGGAGCCCCCAGTGCATCATCATCCACACTGGCACCAACGACCTCCACACCCAGCAGAGTGACACTGCTGAAGCCGTGCGGAGAGTGGCAGAGAGAGCCAGCGCCGAGTTCCCAGAGAGCCGTATCGTGATCTCCACTCTGCTAGCACGTTCTGACACACCCCCTCATGTCATTAATGGCATTAACGTGGAGATCAGCAGAGGATGCGCCACCCTACCAAATGTTCATCTGGCCTACCACCCCACCATCACGCCCCACGACATGTACGATGGGCTCCGTCTACACAAGTACAGCATCCGGATCTTTGCGAAGACCCTTAAAGATGCAGCCCTGGGCCGCAACACCGCTACAGGCTTCACACCACCTGGAGGATTCCTCAGACCACCTCCCCAGTACATGCCCAGGTATGCCCTGATCTCACCTGTAAGGCACAGCAGGCCCTGGGCTCCTCCTGTACACCCTCCTGCATCCCCATACTCACCTGCAGCCACAGCCCCACACATACCTACTGCTCCACGCCCCCCCACCAAGAAAGAAAAGCTGAAAGCGTCACCTGTGAGGAGGCCCCCTTCACAGCAAAGGCCACAGAGCTATGCTGCAGCGGTGGCTCAGCCCCCACCACCCTCAGCTAGAGCCCCCCCTCCAGCTACAACAGAGCTAGGAGAGATAAAACAGATGCTGTACACCCTGTGCACAAGACTGCTGCTGAAGTAAGAGCCGTCCCCCCACGTGCAGATACAGCATTCATGTAGCACTTACTTTAAGAAACAGCACTGTTCACTCTGTGCACTGTTTATTTAACATATGACTAAATAGTTCGTACTTTTGTACAATAATAATAATTTTTATTGACTGTTAAGTCTCACTAAACTGATCTGATTTGATAGATTTTCCAGTGTTTAAAATGCACTCACTCTGTGTTAGCTGTTGGAACATTCAGGGTCTCTACTCCTCGATCTTTGGACCGAAGAGTGGAGATCCTGACTTTCTAAAGAATATTGAAGGTGTAGACGTCCTCATCCTCACCGAAACATGGTGTCATGAGGACACACCTACCCACTGTCCCTCAGACTACTGTGAGGTTATTGTGCCCTCGCTCAAATTAAGTACAGTCCAGCGTGGTCGAGATTCTGGAGGAATCTTGGTGTGGTACAGAAGAGACCTGGCCAACCACTTTTCAGTTGAAAAATTTGGAAAATCACATTGCTGGCTAAAAATGAATGAAGAAATTGGCATATCAGAGACAGACACGTACCTCTGTGCTGTCTACACTCCTCCAATTGAATCCCCTTATTATGACGAGGAGTACCTAAACAATCTCCACACAGAGGTCAGCCATTTCCAGGCCCAGGGAAATGTGCTACTGTGGGGAGATTTCAATGCACGAACTGGAACTGAATATGACTATGTAGACCCACAGGGCGACAAACATGTGTTTGGCCAAAGCTCTCTGTACCTCACACCAACCCTCAAACGCAGAAACAACCTCGACTGCACTGTAAATAAGAACGGAAAAGAGTTAGTGCATCTCTGTCGAGCCTCAGGTCTGTACATACTTAATGGCAGGATCAGAGGGGACTCTTTAGGGAGGTTCACGTATTGTTCAGCTCTTGGAGCTAGTGTAGTTGATTATGCTATCTGGGGAAAGTGTTTAATAGCATTTTAAATAACAGAATTCTGACTTTCCTTAACGAACACAATGTCCTGAGCAAAAATCAGATTGGCTTCCTTCCAAATCACAGAACTACCGACCACATTTACACCCTACACACCCTAATTAATCAACACTTACACCAAACAAAAAATGGAAAATTTTTTGCCTGTTTTGTAGATTTCAAGAAGGCATTTGATTCTATTTGGCATGAAGGGCTTTACTATAAAATTCCACAGAGCGGTGTGGGGGGTAAAGCTTACGATATAATCAAATCAATGTATTCGGGAAATATATGTGCGATAAGAATTGGAGACAAACATACAGAATTCTTCACTCAGAAAAGAGGAGTGAGGCAGGGCTGCAGCCTGAGTCAACACTGTTCAACATCTACATTAATGAGCTAGCGGTGCAGCTGGAACAGTCTGCAGCTCCTGGACTCACTTTACAGGATGAGGAGGTGAAGTTCCTGCTCTACGCAGACGACCTGGTGCTGCTGTCTCCGAGTGCAGAGAGGCTACAGCAGCACCTGGACCTGCTGGAGCAGTACTGCCAGAACTGGGCCCTGGCAGTAAACCTGAAGAAGACAAAAGTTATGATCTTCCAGAAAAGGCCCAGGTGTCAGGAACACAGGTACCAGTTCACTCTGGGCAGCACCGCCCTGGAGCACACGATGCAGTACACTTACCTCGGCCTCATCGTTACTGCATCTGGGAGTTTCAGTCCGGCAGTGAATGCACTAAAGGAAAAAGCTCGCAGAGCGCTGTATGCAATCAGGAGGAGATTCTACAATATTGACATTCCCATCTCAATCTGGTGTAAAGTGTTTGACAGTGTGATCCAGCCCATTGCGCTGTATGGGGGTGAGGTGTGGGGTCTACTCAGTGAGCACGGCTACACTAGATGGGACAAGCTTCCAACAGAAGCCCTGCATGCGGAATTCTGCAGAACGATCCTGAAAGTCCAAAGGAAAACACCAACCATTGCATGCAGGGCAGAATTAGGCCGATTTCCTCTGTTAATAGACATTCAAAAAAGATCTCTAAATTTCTGGATGCACCTGAAGACGAGTCCCAGAGAAACGCTGCAGTTTAAGGCGCTACAGACCCAAGAACTGAACCCTGAGAAAAGTTCCCTCAGTCAGCTGGTTCTGAGGCTTACTAACCCACTAACAGCTGCTAACACACAGCAGCCTCGCTCCAGCACTGCTTTACAGCCCAGACTAAACATCAATCACGCCATCAAAAACAGTAAGAATGACTATCTGGAACATTGGGGAAAAGAAATTAACACTCAGAGTAAATTAAAATGCTATCAGGCCCAAAAAACAGAATATGAATTGGAAGAGTATCTTCTGACTGTCAGAGATACAGAGCAGAGACAGATTCTGACCAAGTACAGACTCAGTGACCACAGCCTGGCCATAGAACGGGGCAGGTATAAAAAGTCCTGGCTGCCCAGAGAGGAGAGGCGGTGTGGTCACTGTCTGACAGGTGAGGTCGAGACAGAGATGCACTTTCTTCTTCACTGTGAAAAATACAAACAAGGGATGAAGGCAATGATATCCCAGGTGGTCTGTAAGGTGTTGCTAGGCCGACATCTCAGGTGGTTGCTGAAGTGTTCCTAGGCTGTTGCTGTGGTATCCCATGTGGTTGCTAAGGTGTCGATAGCAACTTGTATGATGGTGACATAAGAAGAGTTGAGAAGTGTCCAAAAACTTTTGAGTAAAGAGTGTTTACTGACTGTGGTAGGTATAAGTGCTGTATCCTCAGTGTCTAAAGAAAAACACGTATTTCCAAAATACCAATTTACAGGAGAGGCATAAAATGTTCTAACTTTTAATGGAAGTTAATGTAAAGAGGTTTTATTTCAAGTGTTTTTGGAGCATTTCTAGATCCTATTCAGCATAAGTTTTCCACAAAATATAAAGGATGGAAGCTGTGCAGATACATGCAAATACATTTTTTCAGACATGTTGTGGAATAAGTGGAATAAGTGAAATGTTAAGCATTCCACCATTAATTTCCAAGGAAAAACTTCATGTTTTATTGGAGGAGAAGTGGCATTACAAATGTCTGACCGTAGAAAAATAGTAAAATGAAGAATAGTAAATACTTTTTGTCAAGCCAGTTTTATAACTTGGAGCAATAAAACAGAGATAAAGCTTAAGATGTTAGAACTGTTTAATTTTTCATTTATTAGTACTTGAATTAGGACTTGAATTGAATTGAAAAAATTGTAAAATAATTGGCGATAGCACAATAATATAACCGGTATAAAACAAAGTAATTTACATTCAAACTGTTGATGTTTTGCAGATCAATAACCCATCATATTATGAACTCACTAGAAAAAGAACACATGCACACAAAAATGACAATAGTATAAAAGAGTCTATTACATTTCCACAATATTGTTACAGAAAAACAGAAAGAAAAATACTAGGCTTTCAAATATGTAAACAAAGATGGGCACTACTTAGTGATGAATTCCTATCTACCTTAAAATGCCACCAAGTGTGACTGATTTAAAGGGCAGAATTCTTCACCAACAGCCAAAAAAGACTCATGTGCTTGAAAAACATTCATACATTTGCATACATTTCTTAAACTCAGCAAGAGAAGTTAAATATGCAACTTGCCAATGAGAGTTGAGTTCATTTCAATGATTATATCATTAAAACACTTTAAAAATCAGTTTATTTACTTTTTCTATTTTGAAGAATATCTGTGGTTAAAATGGCAGAAGTCAGAGTGCCCTTTGACTCAGTTCACAAGAACATTTGAGTAACCACAAATATGGTGCTTAGCCTTTTTCACCTTTACATACATACATATATTTTACAGAAGAAACAGTGACATTTGCTGGCCCAAAATTTCTTGTCAATATTTTAGTTACAAAAGAATAAAATATAATATAAAATAATAGAAAAAAAAACAATACCTAGAAAAAAGTTAAAGTTAAATGATGTTTTATAAGAAGACATGCTGCACTGGAGTTTTGGGATCCCACCCATCATCTAGGCTTAAACATTTGCATAAATGTCTTCATCTCTGTGGGGAAAAAGCAAGAAAGAGAGAATATTAATGTACGGATAAAAAAAGATAAATTACTATCTAAATGGAAGTATGCAAATGCCAATGTAGTCTTTACTCTTCAATAGACTCAGTTTTCCCAATGTCCATTTCTGTTGGTGAGTCCACAGGATCAGATGACCCTGATAAAACAAGACAGTGTCAAGTTATTGATTCCTTTGCTGAAACTATTAAACCTCAGATACAGTACATGCATTTAGATATTTACTCATGTTTAGACCTTTTCTTACAGTATAAGTACATGTCCTGAAGCATCACTTGAGTATTTTGTAATTTACATTATTTATTGTAACCGAAACATATGTTTTGTGCACATCAGGGTTATTATGTACAAACCCAATTCCAAAAATTTGAGATTAGTGGTGAAATTCAAATAAAAACAGAAAGCAGTGATGTATAAATCTTTTTTGATCTGTATTTATATAAAAAAAAAGTACAAAGTCAAGATATAGAATATTTTATTTGATCAACTTTATTGTTTTTCAAAAAAAGCAACTCATTCTGTAACTGATATCCGCAATAAAAAATGTTGAGGCGTGGCAGTTTAAGACTAGGACATTTTTGAAATTTTGAAAACATCTTAAACAGGCGATGCCGTCATGCTGGCATATAAAAGGGGCATCCAAGGAAGGCCTAGACCTTTATGAGCAAGGATGGTCAAGGCTCGCCACTTTGGCAAAAAAGCATCAGCAAGAATCCAACAGTTTAAGAAAAGCATACCTCAACCAGACCTCTATAGTGAATAGAAACATCTACATTCAAAAACTAGCATGTTTCTGTGATGGATATCAAAAAAAGTTCTTCGGGTCAAAGAGAAACTGAACCAGTGTCTGTCAGTGGGGGTATGAGTGGGTAACCTGCACATCTGTGAAAGCTCCATTAACGGTGAACATATTGTAGAGCAATATATGCTGCCTTTTAGACCCTGTCTTTTTCAAGGAGGTACAAGCTTGTTTCACCAAGCCACCCATTTTCCTGACCCATTGGCCATGTAAACCACCTGCAACTGTAACACAGTCACACCTGACACCCCCCGTACCCCCACGACAATTCTCCCTTCATTAAAACAGTTTGCTCCATCTGTAGGCCTACGAATAATTAGACCTGTACAGAACAGAATGAGGTACAAACAATATTTAAATGATAGATTATACTATGCATAATTTTATCAGCTGTATCAGGGTCATTCATACAGGCTCCTCCACATTTCTTTTTATACATTTTTAAATATAAAATACTGTTTATACTATGGCTAAGAAATGTGCATCCATATTGCCGAGTATGCTGAGCTAATCACTTTAAATCCAATATTTAATTAATAGTCAATGTCAATCCTTTGCTTTCCATTTTACATTAGTCCAGAGTTGTAACTAAACCCTGACTGAGAGACTAGATAATCACTGTCTTATTTTAAAATGATGTGTGCCTATGAGGAGTGTATCATCACACCCATATATTGTGTGGACTAGACTAGACTGGACTCCACAGAGGCTGCTGATGTAAAGCGTAAGTTTCACTTCGTGCACACGCATATGAACACAAGTTTACACACTACATGGTTATCTCTTTTGTCTTTTGTAACCAGATGGATAGTTCCACTTCATCCTCTCATCTTTGACATCAGGGGGAGGTGGGGCCCTTGTGTAATTTGCAGGGCACTACACAATGTGCATAGTGAGCGTATAGGGCAGACTGGCTCTGTGTACATGTTACAGTAGCATGGCTGCTTAATCAGAGAATGCAGGTGCTAGACTGGCCTTCCTGCTTTCCAGACTTGTCTCCCCTTGAAAACGTGTGATGCATTCTGAAGCTCAAAATATGGCGATGAAAATTGCTTAAGGTTGCACTGTTGAAGACTTGTATAAGAGAAGGACAGCAAAAAATGGATCAGTTTGTGTCTTCAGTCCCCATATAAGTTTTTTTTATAAAGGAAAGGTGGTAACAAACAGTGGTAAATATGCTCCTGTATTTGCTTCCGTTTCGGCATCAAATATAGAACGAGTGTATATTTACAAAAAAACAACGAAGTTAATGAGGTAAAAGTTAGAATATTGTGTTTTTGTACTGTTATCAATTTATAACATGTCAAACATAATTTACTCATTACTGTGTTCTGTTTTTATTAGCATTTCACATACTGTACAAATTTTTTGTGTTGGGTTTGTATCTATTATGAATACAAAAACTAGCAGTGAAAGAAGTTATATTAAAAAAATAATCACAGGAATGTTACATCAAGGCTATACACTCTTAGCAAAAAATGCTTTCTGATGTCTAACAGTGGCAGAACCTTTTTGGTGCTATACAGAACCATTTTTAAAAATGGATCCTTTAAAGAAACCCATAAAGAAAAATAGATTTTCCTTCTTAGAGAAGAACTTAACCACGTAAAGAACCATTTATGCATTCAAATACTTATGAGTGTTGACAGTTATATAGATAACCACTGTCTTTACTGAGTAACCTTTGACGAAACAGTTTAACAGTGTAATATGTAATACGGTAGTGTGCAAAAGTCAGAGACCACCCTTTCTTTTAATTAATGGGCATTTTGACTCAAAATTAAGTACAGGGAGAATCACTCAAAGGAGGCCCCGAATATTCTGTAATAACTCTCGCTAAGACAAAGCAATCTGAGCAAAACAATATGCAATGTGCTCCTCAGTATATGGAGTTTCGAACAAGCCCCTGTGTCAGGGCGATGAGGTAGGTGCCAGACAGCCATCGCTACATTTAACATCCGCTTGCAATATCCAGGTGCATAGCCCCGTACCCCTTCACTCAGTCACTCGACTTCTCATTAGGATGGTGGTGTACAGTATTGAGCCACCAGACTTCTTCCTTTGGGGTATGCTCAAACAAAGCTCGGAACAAACCTCGCACTGTGGAAGATTGGAAGGAAAACATCCAATGTGAAATTGCTGCTATTCCCCCCGATATGCTTGCCGATACATTGAGGAACATGGAGCGCTGCGTCGAAATGTGTCTGGCAGAAAATGGAGATCACTTCCAGCATCACAAGTAATGCAATCGATTACACACACATCAAGGTATGTAGGGTATTTTTTCAGTTCATATTGCTTCATCCTAACAGGAGTTACAACAGAATATTCGGGGCCTCTTTCGAGTGAACCTCCCTGTACAAGTTATTCACTTTGCAGTGTTAAAAAAGCAAGAAACATAATGTTAAACAATTATAAAAAGATTCCTTGTTTTATCCAGGAGTGGCACACATCAAAGTTGAGAGCCACTTTGAATGGCTACACCCCTTGACACCACACGCTCACAACCCAGTTGACCATAGTCTGCTGCTGCATTGCTGAATGCACAAAAGTCCTCTGAAGTATTTTGAATAATTATATCTCTAGTACACAACAGACAGTCTTTCAGGACTATAGACAAGTGATGGGTGTGTTCCTTACCTTTCTTGTACAAAACTGCCAAAGTGACCACAAAAAGAACGAAGAAAACTCCAGAAAGAATCACGAAGATTATGAGCAGTATCAAAGGGATCTGCTGCTGTTGCTCCTGAGCTCCGCTGAAGTAAATTGAGCGATTCTGCAGTCCATTCTTTCCATGTATCTGGCAGGTGTAGTTGGTGTTGGGCAGATTTGCAGGAATAGAGGACGATGCTCCTGCAAAGCCACTTTGAACAGACACCAAAGAGGCATTCATGTTCTCTGGAATGATCCATGTCACCATTGGAGGAGGTGTTCCTTTAACATCACATGTAACAAACTGCTCCCCTGATGGAAGTGTTCGTATGTAGATGCTGTCTAGTGTTTGAGGCACAGCTGGAGTATCTCACTGTTAGTGTTATCCTGTGACCCAATTCTACCATTATGGACCATCATTAAGTTATTCTTACAAACATCACAGCTTGCTTGGTAAAATTTGTCAGGAATGTTACAGAGAAAATGCTTGAATTCTTAGAAAGAATCAATCAAAAATTCATATTTTACCTCGGATGTTCAAGATGGTTCCTGTACTAGTTTTGTAGGCAGCTCCTGGCATACTCAACTCAACACGACAGAAATACCTTTCTGCATCCATAAACAGGACATTTTTAATCCTCAATGAGATGTTGTGTCTTCTTGGGTCACCCGATAATGAGTAACGTCCAGTAGATTCAGTGCAGTTGTGTCCACTTTCTGACAGATTTCCTTTGCTCACACAACGGAAAATTACTTGCCATTTGGTTTGCCAAATTGCTGTTATATCATGCCTGTAGTCTGGATACGGAGTTGTAAAAGTGCAAGGGATGATGGCATCTTCACCAAATTTTTGGTCGACAGCTCCAGGTACAGTCATTGACCACTTGTTATCCGCCATGAGACCTGATATAACAAAAACATTCATATTGACATGTAATTAGGAACACTGCTTTGTGACTCACAGCAGTCATTTAACTGTTTACATTTATAAGTCTTTCATTTATCCATTCATTAAGCATTATTTGAGCTCACATTACTTTAAGGGGGATCTTCATGTGAAATGGGTCATTGTAGAGAAATTACTGACTGTCTTTTCTTTACAGTGGTGATAAGAAATAGAAGTTGCGATGTCTACAATGCAAGTACAGTCATGCCGTTTACCATCCAAAGCCACCAGTAAACCTAATCGTGTCTTGTGAGTTTTTAAATGCAATGTTTAAAAGCGTAAAATAGGAGTAAATCCAAAAATTAGTCTTCTTTGGGTACTACTTTCCATTCAACGTCCTGCGTATACCCGTCTGCCCTGAGTGTTTTTTTTATATATATTTTAGACCAAAAGCTTCTCTCAAAAATATCAGAAACAATGTCACGGGCATCAGGTAGAATGTTCATAACTATTTCATGTGATACTGTCTATGAGGGAGCTTTCAGTGTAGCTCTGTAGATGTCTGGTTCCTATCACCAATGCTGTAAATAATTCTGACTACAGTTCTCTACAATGTAACATTTCACATCAACCCACTCTGAAAGACAATATTACACTGTAATGATTTAATTATACAGAATTATTGGAAAATTGGTGGAATTCCCCTTCAAGGGCAGCTGAGTGCCATAGGGAGATTAAAAAGATAGGCATAGAAAATATCAAATTGATAATAACCCAGAGATAAAGAGTAAGATCAAACCTTTATAATCTGTATCAGTATAAATTTGAAATAGATCTGAAAAAGTTAAGCATCCTACCTGGAGAGCCACATAAAAAGAAAACTATTTGGACGAGCTGCATCTTCATTTTTGGTCACTTCTTCTAAACATACAAGTGATGTTGATCAGCTCTGAATGTAAGATGATCACTAATTCAGGCGCTTCCTTTACTTTAAAGTCAGAATGAGAGTCAGGGCTGGTTCTATCCGGTGTGATCACAACACCTCATCAGCTTTACATTAGCACCTCTGCAGCTTCACTCTAACCACCACATTACACAATCATCTCTAATGTTTTCTTTCAAAACTATCAATATCAGAAAGAGAAAGTTTAGAAAGATTTTTAATAAGGGAAAATTTTAGCATTACAGTCTACACTGGGCCAACACAGTGTGACACAAGCAAAGCAACCTTGATGAAGCTTGAAGTATGAAGCTACAGGAAGCTCTGCCTCGTGTTGTATTTTCACCTTTGCTGAGTGGTGGAGGCCTCTATTCAAACACATTGCAGTTTGAGTCTCAATGATTCACCAAGCAAACTTTGTACTGTAAAGAATCAGCTAGAATAAGAAACACAGAAACTGGGTTTGTAGCTTCCCTTTAAAATGAATATTTAAATGTACATACTGGTAATAAGGATGACGCCCAGAGGTTCTTCTTTCCAGAACTTAAAATGTTCCCAAAACATGTGCACAGTGCAAATATGTACAAAATAACGACGAGTCCCAAAACTAAATCAATGAACAGCTCCCACATAGATCAAAAAATTCCTCTGGTTGCACTGTGAGTGTGTCCTAATTTTGTTGCTAGCTATGAGCGCTCGGTAATAACAAAGCTCAGTTTGTGATAGAAATCAACCCCAGTTGTGTAGTCTTTACCCCTGTTGAAGACCTGTTTCCATGCTCGAGAACAGTGTAGCCATAAAACAATAACTGCACTGGCCACTTCACTCCAGAACGAGTTAAAAAAAAAGCAGCTGGCTAAGTGTCAAAATGCAATTAGGCCACTGAGTAAAACTGCCTTTCATATCATGCTAATGACCCGTCTTTATTCAGAGGTGGGTGGTAACTAGTTACTTTCACTCAAGTACATGTACTTCAGTAAAATACTGACATTTTGATGGATTTGATGATTTTTACTCTCGAGTATTTTCAAATCGTATTACTATTACTTCTACTGTGATTAAAGTGATTAAAGGAATCTTTTTACTCCATTACATTTTAGCCATTCATATTAAGATAAAGAATCTTTCGTTGTGTTTAATTTTAATATGTTTTGATGTTGGCAATATTTTACTGCTTTGCGTTTGTTACATCTCTGACATTGAACATCTTTGTGTTTTCGAACAAAAAATGCTAAAAAGAGAAGAACAGAGCTGCCCAGTCTTCGGTTCCTATGCTGATAAATGCTGGATACGTTGCTACTAAGAAGTTCCATTGCAGTACTCAGTAATTAAGTAGATTTTCAACCTGCTTCTTTCATATTTCTACTCAAGTTGTTTTGGGGAAGGCACTTTTACTTGTGTAATTATTTTATGGAAGTATCAATACTTTTACTTAAGTATTGATTTAGACTCCTCTACCCATCTCTGACCTGATCATGCACAGAGTCAGTGGTTGTTTTGATGCTGCTTCAGTAGGTGCTGTCTCAGACAGCAATATTTGTTAGCTAACATTTCTGAAGAAAATCAGGCTGTTTTCATATCCCGTTCATTTTCTAAAGGCAGCACCCGTTTGTTTTTTGTGATATTGTACCTCTTTACTTTGGCTCAGATGGTGAACTGCAAGGGCTAAAGTGGACTAAATTACACACGTGGGAGTTTGTTGGTCAGAAGTTTTGGAGGGATGCCAGCGCTCTGTTACTCTCACATTCACCACAATGTAAACAGAAAAACAGAAAATAGAGACGCTTATCATCTATGTGTATACCAATTTAAATGTAACCAATCCGGTCGATGCTTGGCCAAAAATTTGCTCCACAGTCCATGTGCCAAAATTTAATGCAGATCATTATTTTATTGCTTGTCTCTCTCTCTCCTCTCTCTCTCTCTCAGCTCGCAATGCAGGAATGCAGGAATTTTTTTAAAAAAAATATCTTTATCTTTTTTTTTAATCTTTTTTAAAATGCTGAACTTTTCCTCTTATGATGATGCTTTCACATCTAAAGCATTGAAACATTTCTTTTAGACAACTATTCAAAAACAAATGATTTCTTCTCTTTTTTTCCCAGGGTTGCAAGTTCATACAGTAATTTAGGGGGGCTGCTATTGTTTTTGCCATGAGGTTGTTATGGGATATCAGCTTGTGGTTAGGGCATTGCTAGGTGGTTGCTATGTGGCCACTAAGGTGTTTCTAGGCCATTGCTGCGCTCTCTCATGTGGTTGCCCTAAATGTAACTAAAGCTCAGCAGTGAGGTTGCTGAACTTTCCCCTTCTCCACTATCGCTGAGGACGGGCCGGGTCACCTACAGAGCACCGCTAGTAGCCTGTTAATGAAGCAGTGTTTTGTCGCAATTTGTTGGGCAAGATTTCAACCTCTACCCCTTGTAACTCAGGTCCAAGAGGTTAGGCTGACACTCGAGAACAAGGGGTAGGGGTTAAAAGCAGAAATGGGATTGGGCCTAATTGTCTATTCAGTATAAGTTTTCCCAAAATATAAAGGATGGCAACTGTGCAGATACATGGAGAAACAATTTTTTTTAGACAGCGACAATAAATTGTGGAATAAGTAGAAAAAGTGGAATGTTAAGCATTTTGCCATTAATTTCCAAGGAAAAACTTCATGTTTTATTGGAGGAAGAGTGGCATTACAAATGTCTGACCATAGTAAATAGTAATAGTAAGAAGAAAATGAAGAATAATCAGTAAGCTTTTTTAAGAAATAATACTGAAATAAAGGTTAAGATTTCAGAACTGTATAATATTGCATTTATTAGTAAAGGACAACATTTTAGACCAATGTGGTTGTTTACTTGAATTGAAATTGTAAAACAATTGGCTATTGCACAATAATATAATTGGTATAAAAGTAATTTAACGGTTAAACTGGTGATGTTTTGCAGATCAATAACCCATCATATTATGAAAACTCACTAGAAAAAGAACACATGCACACAAAATGACAATAGTATAAAAGAATCTATTACATTTCCACAATACTGTTACAGTAAAACAGAAAAAAAATATATTAGGCTTTCAAATATGTAAACAAAGATGGGCACTACTTAGTGATGAATTCCTATCTACCTTTAAATGCCACCAAGTGTGACTGATTTAAAAGGCAGAATTCTTCACCAACAGCCAAAAACACTCATGCCTGAAAACCCTTCATGAATACCCATCAGTTTATTTACTTTTTATGTTTTGAAGAATGTGGATGTATGCAAATGCCAATGTAGTCTTTACTTTTCAATAGACTTGGTTCTCCTAATGTTAACTTCTGTTGGAGAGCCCACAGGATCAGATGACCCTGATTGAAACAAGACAGCGTCAAGTTATTGATTCCTTTGCTGACACAATTATTAAACCTCAGATACAGTACATGCATTTAGATATTTACTCAGGTTTAGACATTTTGTTATTGCGAAATTATATGTCATGAAACGTAATTTACAGTGTTTAGTATAACTGAAACATATTGTTTGTGCACATCAGGATTATTATGTACAAACCCAATTCAAATAAAAACAGAAAGCAGTAATTTATATTTATATAAAAACAGTACAAACACAAGATATGTAATGTTTTATTTTATTTACTGTATTGTATTTTGAAAACATCAATTCATTCTGAAACTGATCCCTGCCATAAAAAAAAAGAAAAATGTTGGGACATAGCAGTTTAAGACTAGAAGAGTATTAAAATGTTCAAAAAATCATCTTAAACAGGCGATGCCGTCATGCTAGAATGTAAAAGGAGCATCCACGGAAGGCCTAGACCTTTATGAGCAAGGATGGTCAAGGCTCACCACTTTGGCCAAAATGCATCAGCAAGAATCCAACAGTTTAAAAGCATACCTCAACCAGACATAGAAACATCTACATTCAAAAACTAGCATTTTTCTGTGATGGATATCAAAACATGTTCTACGGGTCAAAGAGAAACAGGACCATCTAGATTGTTACCAGAGTAAAGTTCAACAGCCAGCGTCTGTCAGTGGGGATATCAGTAACTTCACATCTGTGAAAGCACCATTAGCTTATTTCATCATGGCAACACCAAGCCACATTCTGCACATGCAGATCCAATCGTGACCTCCCTAAGCAAAATTCTGCAAGGGTCTTCCTACCTGACCAATAAGACATGGAAACCATCTGCAACTGCAACACAGTCACACCTGACATCCCCGTACTCTCACTACAATCTTCCCTCCATTAAAACAGTTTGCTCCATTTGTAGGTCTATGAATAATTAGACCTGTACAGAATAGAATGAGATACAAACAATATTTAAAATGATAGATTATACTATTAATAACTTTATCAGCTGCATCAGGGTCATTCAAACTGGCTCCTCCAGATTTCCTTTTAAACATTTTCAAATACTATTTAAACTATGGCTTGGCGGAATAACTGATGGTCAGTATTTACTAAGAGATGTGCATCCATATTGCCGAGTATGCCGAAGTAATCACTTTAAATTCAATATTTAATTAATAGTCAATGTCAATCCTTTGCTTTCCATTTTACATTAGTCCAGAGTTGTAACTAAACCCTAACTGAGAAACTAGATAATCACTGTCTTATTTTAAAATGATGTGTGCCTATGAGGAGTGTGTCATCACACCCATATATTGTGTGGACTAGACTAGACTAGACTGGACTCCACAGAGGCTGCTGATGTAAAGCGTGGGTTTCACTTCGTGCACACGCATATGAACACAAAAGTTTACACACTACATGGTTATCTCTTTTGTCTTTTGTGACCAGATTGATAGTTCCACTTCATCCTCTCATCTTTGACATGAGAGAGAGGCGGGGCCCTTGTGTAATTTGCAGGGCCCTACACAATGTGCATAGTGAGCGTATAGGGCAGACTGGCTCTGTGTACATGTTACAGTAGCATGGCTGCGTAATCAGAGAGTGTGGGTTCTAGACTGGCCTTCCTGCTTTCCAGACTTGTCTCCCCTTGAAAACGTTTGATGCATTCTGAAGCTTAAAATAAGGCAATGAAAACTGCTTAAGGTTGCACTGTTGAAGACTTGTATAAGAGAAGACCAGCGAAAAATTACGCTCACAGATGTGGATCAGCTTGGGTCTTCACTCCCCAAATAATTGTGATGTAACACAGTGGTAAATATGCTCCTGTATTTGCTCCTTTTTTGGAACTTGTTTCTGGCATCAAATATAGAACAAGCGTATATTTACAAAAAAACAATAAAGTTAATGAGGTAAAACCTAAAAAATTGTGTTTTTGTACTGTTATTAATTTGGTACATGTCAAACATAATTTACTCATTACTGTGTTCTGTTTTTATTAGCATTTTACATACTGTACCAACTTTTTGGAGTTGGGTTTGTATCAACAGAATCTATTAGGAATACAAAAACTAGCAGTGAAAAAAGTTAAAGCCGCATTACAAACAAACAAACAAAAAAGAAATCACAGGAATGTTACATCAAGGCTATATACTCTTAGCAAAAAGTGTTTTCTGATGTCTAACAGTAGCAGAACTTTTTGGTGCTATACAGAACCATTTTTAAAAACGGATCCTTACAGAAACCCCTATAGAAACCCATAAAGAACTACAGGTTTTCCTTCATAGAAAAGAACTTAATCATGTAAAGAACCATTTATGTATTCAAGTACTTCTTTTAGTTTTGACAGTTATATAGATAACCACTGCATTCACTCCGTAACTTTTGAAGAAACATTTTTTAACTGTGTAATATGTAACAGTACTGTGCAAAAGTCAGAGACCACCCTTTCTTTTACTTAATATTCAGTCAAAATGCCCATTAAGTATGTTATTCGCTTTTCAGTGTTAAAAAAGCAGGAAACATATTAAACAATTAGAAAAAGATTGCTTACAAGCATGCATAACCTGGCAGACCACCAAACTGCCACCATTAGACAAACAGTACTAAATGTTTTAATCTTTTAAAGACAGGAGAAAATCAGTTTTGCTTTTAATTTAAAAATCTGCAGCTCTCAGGCAGCCCTGCTGTTGTGGCGTGGTGCATAGTTGCACACTGTCCCTCTTTCGCCCGGCTGCAACTGGCCTCCGTAGCTGAGCCTTGCCACACACTTATTTCCCCAGCAGGCCGCCTCGCTCTTGGCTGGCTGGCCCTATCCAGAGGGCAGGCATAGCGCTCAGTACCCCTTTCCTCAGGGCTATGTTTTCTTCGCTGCTCACCTTTGATGCGCTGCTTGACTTCTTCAAACTTGGCGGCTGTGTGCCACTTCTAATACCAATGTAGCATTGATGAAGAAGATGAGAAGAACATAGCAAGTACAGGTGAATTCTCTTTTAATTTAAATAGCAGCAAGGAAACTCCCCAGCCCAGCGCTGCCCAACACTAAATATAGGGAAGGGGTAACATGGGAGGACACAACATATGAGGTATCCCTCAAAAACAACAGCTACAAACAAACATCCTGTTTTATCAAGGAGTGTGGTGCCTTCCAAAAGCCACTTTGCATGGCTACACCCCTTGAGTTCATCAGGGACACCACATTATAATGGATGGTCTAGAAGTGTGTTTTTTTTCCCTGTCAAACCTTAAATACCCAAGAAATGGTGATGTCTTTGAGTTACGCTCACAACCCAGTTGACCATAGTCTGCTGCTGCATTGCTAAAAGGACAAGTCATTTTACAAAAAATCAAGAGAGAGTCCTCTGAACCACTGTGAATAATTATCATATCTCTAGAGCACAACAGACAGTCTTTCAGGACTATAGATAAGTGATGGGTGTGTTCCTTACCTTTCTTGTACAAAACTGCCAAAGTGACCACAAAAAGAATGAAGAAAACTCCAGAAAGAATCACAAAGGCTATGAGCAGTATCACAGGGATCTGCTGCTGTTGCTCCTGAGCTCCGCTGAAGTAAATTGAGCGATTCTGCGTTCCATTCTTTCCATGTATCTGGCAGGTGTAGTTGGTGTTGGGCAGATTTGCAGGAATAGAGGACGATGCTCCTGCAAAGCCACTTTGAACAGACACCAAAGAGGCATTCATGTTCTCTGGAATGATCCATGTCACTGTTGGAGGAGGTGTTCCTTTAACATCACATGTAACAAACTGCTCTCCTGATGGAAGTGTTCGTATGTAGATGCTGTCTAGTGTTTGAGGCACAGCTGGAAAAACTGTATCTCACTGTTAGTGTTATCCTGTGACCCAATTCTACCATTATGGACCATCATTAAGTTATTCTTACAAACATCACAGCTTGCTTGGTAAAATTTGTCAGGAATGTTACAGAGAAAATGCTTGAATTCTTAGAAAGAATCAAAAATTCATATTTTACCTCGGATGTTCAAGATGGTTCCTGTACTGGTTTCGTAGGCGTCTTCTTGCTTATCCAACTCAAAACGACAGAAATACCTTTCTGCATCCATAAACAGGACATTTTTAATCCTCAATAAGATGTTGTGTCTTCTTGGGTCGACCGATAATGAGTAACGTCCAGTAGATTCAGGGCAGTTGTGTCCACTTTATATGTATATATATGTATGTGTGTGTATTTGTATATATATATATATATATATATATATATATATAATATATATATATATATATATATATATATATATATTTAGACTATCACCAGTGCTGTAAACATTTCTGACCCAAATTCTCTACAGTGTAACACCTAACTCTCTACAATGTAACATTTCACATCAAACCACTCTGAAGGACAATATTTACACAGTAATGATTTAATTATACAGAAAAATGGAAAAGCTCCCCTTCAAGGGTAGCTGAGTGCCATAGGGAGATTAAAATGATAAGCATAGAAAGTGTCAAATTGATAATAACCCAGAGATAAACAGTAGGATCAAACCTTCATAATCTGTATCAGTATAAATTTGAAGTAGATCTGAAAAAGTTAAGCATCCTACCTGGAGAGCCACATTAAAAGAAAACTATTTGGACGAGCTCCATCTTCATTTTGGTCACTTCTTCTAAACATACAAGTGATGTTGATCAGCTCTGAATGTAAGATGATCACTAATTCAGGTGCTTCCTTTACTTTAAAGTCAGAATAATAGTCAGGGCTGGTTCTATCCGGTGTGATCACAACACCTCATTAGCTTTACATTAGCACCTCTGCAGCTTCACTCTAACCACCACAACACACAATCATCTCTAATGTTTTCTTTCAAAACTATCAATATTAAGAAGAGCAATTTTAGAAAGATTTTTATTAGAGAAAATTACAACCTACACTGGGCCAACATAGGATGACATAAGCAAAGCAACCTTGATGAAGCTTGAAGTATGAAGCTACCGGAAGCTCTGCCTCATGTTTTATTTTCACCTTTGCTGAGTGGTGGAGGCCTCTATTCACTGCAGTTTGAGTCTCAATGATTCACCAAGCAAATTTTGTACTGTAAAGAATCAGCTAGAATAGGAAAAATGAATATTTATATGTACATGCTGGTAATAAGGATGACGCCCAGAGGTTCTTCTTTCCAGAACTTTATATTCCCAAAACTTGTGCACAGTGCAAATATATACAAAATAACGAAAAGTTCCAAAACTTAATCAATGAACAGCTCCCACATAGATCAAAAAATTCCTCTGGCTGTGCTGTAAAATGCTACCAAAATCGGCCTTTTGTACGATTTATCTCTGTTCACTGTAATATAACATTATTTCTGAAATGCCAGTTCTGTGTTTGTTGTGTTTATTAACCACCGCTCGTCACGATAGCTTCATGGTTACTGTTATTAAGAACGTATCAGTTTTGTTGCGTTATATAACACAAACATATTACTCGACTCAACACTTTTATGTGGTACAGACTTCACCATGCTGCAAACAGTGTAAACAATAGGACCATATGTAGACGAGTTTCATCCAAATGTCTTCCCCCCACCAAATATAACTCAAGAAGTATCTGTTATAAAAACTAATTTAGTGTTACGCCAGGGTGATTGCTGTGGAGCAGAGGTTTTTTTTTGGGGGGGGGGATACTTTTACAATAGTACAAATACTTTACAAGAGTATTAATATAAATATGAATATAACGTTTCAATTTTCTATTTTCCCTCAAATACATGAGTTTTGCATTTTGTCCACTACTATTTTTATTACATGAACTTGAAAAAAGCAGACACTTTTCTTTTTGTTTTACACAGATTGCCTGTGATAAATGTGAAAGATTCCACACAGTCTGCATCAATAACCCTGAGCGGGAGGGACAATATACATGCATAGCATGTGCATGTGTGTAATTTCTGTAGATTTGTGTTACAGTAAATCCAAAAACCTCCATGAAAAACGGACGCAAAACATCGTGTACCCTGCCCGGGAGAGGGTCACCGGGACCTACCCCTGGAGCCAGGCCTGGGGGTAGCGTCCCTCGGCGAGCGCCTGGTGGCCGGGCAGGCCACGTAACCCGGCCGGGCTCAGCCCGAAGAGGCAACGTGGGGGGACCATGTGGGCCCACCACCCGCAAGGTCCAGCATGGGGGAGTGGTGCAGTGCCGTACAGGCAGTGGGAGATTGCAGGGGGGCCCTTGGTGGCCTAGGCCCCTGCGGCAGAAACTGGCTCTTGGTACGTGGAACGTAACCTCACTGGGGGGGAAGGAGCCGGAGCTTGTGCGGGAGGTTGAGAGGTACCAACTAGATATAGTTGGGCTCACCTCCACCCACAGTATCGGCTCTGGAACCAAACTCCTGGATAGGGGTTGGTCCCTCTCCTACTCCGGGGTTGCACAAGGTGAGAGGCGCCGGGCGGGTGTGGGGATACTCACGAGTCCCCGGCTGGCGGCAGTACAGTTGGAGTTTGTCCCGGTGGACGAGAGGGTCGCCTCAATGCGTATTAAAATCGCAGAGAGGAAAACTCTGACTGTTGTGTGTGCTTATGCACCAAACAACAGGTCGGAGTATTCGGCCTTCTTGGAGCAAGTGGGCGGGGTTCTGGAAAGGGTCCCAACTACAGACTCCATAGTCTTACTGGGAGACTTCAATGCTCATGTTGGCAATGACTGGGAGACCTGGAGAGGCGTGATTGGGAAGAACGGCCTGCCCGATCTAAACCCGAATGGTGAATTGTTATTGGACTTCTGTGCCAGGCATGGATTGTCCATAACGAACACCAAGTTCGAACACAAGGATGTTCATAAGTGTACATGGTACCAGAGCTCCTTGGGTCAAAGGTCAATGATCGACTTTGTTGTCGTTTCATCTGACTTGGGACCATATGTTCTGGACACTTGGGTGAAGAGAGGTGCTGAGCTGTCAACTGATCACCATCTGGTGGTGAGTTGGATCAGATGGCAGGGAAGACTGAGGGTTAGACCCGGTAGGCCCAAGCGAATAGTGAGGGTGTGCTGGGAACGACTGTCGGAGGCCCCTGTTCGGAATGATTTTAACTCCCACCTCCGGGAGAGCTTTTCTCATGTCCCGGAGGAGGTAGGGGACATAGAGTCTGAATGGACCCTGTTCAAAACCTCCATTGTGGAAGCTGCCAGGCGCAGCTGTGGCCAAAAGCTTGTCGGTGCCTGTCATGGCGGTAACCCAAGAACCCCCTGGTGGACACCGGTGGTGAGGGAGGCCGTCAAGCTGAAGAAAGAGGCCTTTAGGGACTGGATGGCCCGAAGGACTCCCGATTCAGCAGATAGGTACCGACATGCAAAAAAGGTGGCAGCTGCAACAGTGGCAGAAGCAAAATCCAGGGCGTGGGAGGAGTTTGGTGAGGCCATGGAAAAAGACTTTCGGTCGGCCTCGAGGAGGTTCTGGACAACTGTCCGGCGACTCAGGAGTGGTCGGGGTGACTGCGCCCAGGCTGTATTCAGCAGGGGTGGAGAAACTCTGACTTCAAATGAGGATATTGTCGGTCGATGGAAAGAGCACTTTGAGGAACTCCTTAATCCGGGTGACATGCCTCCCTCACGGGAGTCAGGGCCAGAGGCCTCTGGCGTGTCAAGCTCCATTTCCCTGGTGGAGGTCACTGAGGTAGTTGGCAAGCTCTTCGGTGGCAAGGCACCGGGGGTGGATGAGATTCGTCCGGAGATGCTTAAGGCTCTGGATATTGTGGGGCTGTCGTGGCTGACACGCCTCTGCAATAGTGCATGGACCTCGGGAACAGTACCCTTGGACTGGCAGACTGGGGTGGTGGTCCCTATTTTCAAGAAAGGGGACCGGAGAGTGTGTGCCAACTATCGGGGTATCACACTGCTCAGCCTCCCTGGGAAAGTCTATGCCAAGGTGCTGGAAAGGAGACTTCGGCCGATAGTTGAACCTCAGATTGAGGAGGAACAATGCAGATTCCGTCCCGGCCGTGGAACAATGGACCAGCTTTTCACCCTCTCACGGATTGTTGAGGGGGCATGGGAGTTTGCCAACCCAGTCTACATGTGTTTTGTGGATTTGGAGAAGGCTTACGACCGTGTTCCCCGAGATATCTTGTGGGAGGTCCTCCGGGAGTATGGGGTGCCGGGGTTACTACTCCGGGCCATTCAATCTCTGTACGCCCGGAGTGAGAGCTGTGTTCGTATACTCGGCATTAAGTCGGACTCTTTCAGTGTTAGCGTTGGACTCCGCCAGGGTTGTGCCCTGTCTCCACTCCTGTTTGTGATATTCATGGACAGGGTGTCAAGGCGTAGCCGGGGTCAGGAGGGCATTATGTGTGGAGGCCGGAGGGTGGCATCTCTGCTATTTGCAGATGATGTTGTTCTTTTGGCTGGATCACATGGATGCCTCCAGCGCACACTGGAGCGGTTTGCAGCTGAGTGTGAAGCGGTTGGTATGCGGATCAGCACCTCCAAGTCTGAGTCCATGGTCTTAGCCCGGAAAAGGATGGTATGCCCACTCCAGGTAGGGGGAAAGGACTTGCCCCAGGTGGAGGAGTTTAAGTATCTCGGGGTCTTGTTCACGAGTGATGGGAAGAAGGATCGTGAGATTGACCGCAGGCTGGGACAAGCGGCAGCAGTAATGCGGTCGCTGTACCGGACTGTAGTGGTGAAGAGGGAGCTGAGCCGTAAGGTCTACATCCCGACCCTCACCTATGGTCATGAGCTGTGGGTAATGACCGAAAGAATGAGATCGCGAATACAAGCGGCAGAAATGAGCTTTCTTCGCAGGGTGGCGGGCTACACTCTATTTGATAGGGTGAGGAGCTCGGCCATCCGGGAGGAGCTCGGAGTAGAGCCGCTACTCCTCCGCATTGAGAGGAGCCAGCTGAGGTGGTTCGGGCATCTGATCCGGATGCCCCCGGGACGCCTCCCGGTGGGGGTGTACCAGGCACGGCCTACCGGAATAAGACCCCGGGGTCGTCCTAGGACCCGCTGGAGGGATTATATCTCCAAGTTGGCCTGGGAGCGGCTTGGGGTCCCCGGGAATGAGCTGGAGGAAGTTGCGGGGGACAGGGTCACCTGGGATTCTCTGCTCTCCCAACTGCTACCGCGACCCTATCTGGACTAAGCGGTTAACGATGATGATGATGATGATGATGATGATGATAAATCAGTGATTTCCTTTGTG